GTTGAGGAAAAGGAGTTAAAAGAAGTACTCTGGCGAGCGCCAGGTGTACAGAAATTGCTCTTGATCGACTAATAAGGGTTGACCGTGCAAAAGACTACAGTTGGAACCCCTGCTAAGTGAAAGAAGAAAAAAACAAGAAAAATGTGAATGAAAGTGCAAAAAGGGGTTCCGACGGTGAAATGAAGTGAAAGAGTAGCCCGGTACAACGAGTCCTTGGTTGTGAATGTTGTGAGTCCCTTTATCCATGAACTGCCTGTCTTACTTCTACTTCTTTTCATGATCCTGGCGTGAGTCTAGAACTCGCATTGAGGGAGATAGGGAACATCTTAAAAGACCAGTTGACCTCGTAAGCTGCTATATGATCTAGGAAATCCTCTACCTACGATCGGGGTTGTTTGTTGCTATAGAGGTCTGGAGAGTTGCATTGGTTTGAGTCAGGTTTGCTTGGGGCAAGCAAACAGTTAAGTGTGGGGGAATTTGATGACTCGATATTTGCACATGTTTTCCCCTTTGTTTCTTGATCGTTTAAGCTTGCATTATCGCTTCTTTGGCCTATTTTACGCTAGGTTATGTTCCTTTGTCACATTTCAGGCCCTAGCACATAAAGTGAAGCGTAGGCGCAAGTTTCAAGTCAATCGGAGATCATTTGGCAATTCGGGAGAAGAAACACGAGCATGACCTGAGGAATAATGGATTTATACCTCATATTATGGACAAATTATCATGGAAGTTTGTTGTGAAAAGAAATAGGACGAGACTACGAGCGTCTGGGTTCAAACGGCGACTGATTTGGAGTCCGGACGAGGGAGAAACGAAGCTTTGAACAGGAGCGGAGGAAGAATTACGGGCAGGAGAATTACGACCGTAATTTACCCTCCCATGCCCGTATTTTCACTGCCGAGAGGAGCTTTGTGCGCTGAAACTTAACCAAAACGCGTGTTTTGGGAAAAATACGGGCAAGGAAGAATTACGACCGTAATTCAGCCCGTAATTCGCCCAGAATCGGGTTTTTGAGGCAGATTCGAGCAAAGGAAAGAGGGAGCTGGGTTTGATTCACAAACACCCAAGGGACGAACCCTAGAGAGAGAGAGAGCGACTTGGGAACATTCTTGGAGCTATTTTGGAGGATTTCTTCGCCATTGGAGCTTGGGAATCAAGCTTGGAGTTGGAGATTGAAGATCTAGATCAGATTTCTGCAGTCTCTCTCTTCTCTATGGAGTAACTTCCCTTCACTTAGGTTTTGAGGAACCCTAGCTATATTTGTTTGATTGGATGATTGTATGAGTACTCTTACTTGATAATCTTGAGTTCATATTCAATCTATGCATGTTTTCATGATTCAATTATGCTTTAGTCGAGATTATTGATTCTGCTTTGATCCTATGAGAGCGAATACCTGATTAGGTCAATAGAGCACCATAGATTGATAGTAGTGGATCGATTACTTTAGTCGAGGGTTGATTCACTGCTTTGTATCGATTGAGAACCTCATTCGATAGAGGGAATCTAGTTCAGAACGCCTTGATCGGTTGTTCTAGAGAAGGATACGTCCCTCTAGGCAATTGACTCAAGAGGGCCTTGATCCTTTAGTCGAGATTCAAGGTCTAGTCAAGGATTCTCCGCATTGTGAATGAAAGTGAAACAAGTTAGAAATCATCAATCGTTAATCTGGCTACTGGCTAGGGGGAATCATACCTAAGTGAGTTCCCAGCCTGTAATTAGATTAACCTTAACTGTAGTGTGTAAGAGTAGTTTTCGTTCTTTCATCTTAATCTGGTTTGCTAGATAATGAACTAAAGCTGAGTAATAGTAACTCTAGAGACCCGTGGATTCGATATTTATTACTTGAGCCACTATATTGCAGTCCCTTTCATTGGTTACACTTGGCCTATGTTAGGAGTTGTGTCATAGCGAGTCAATGCTCCCTGTAGAGTTGGCCTATGTTGGCGCCCAGCGTCTTCTTGAACATTGTGTTAGTTAATTATTACTTAGTAGATAGCATAATAATTTGGAAACTATTGTACTCTATATTTGGTATTAATGGATGTTTTTGGATTATATTTTTAGAAACGTATGAAGAAAATGACCGCGTTTTGTTGACTTCATGATATAGTAAGTTCATTTAGTTTTGTGATTAAAATTTTTTTGTTAAGTTTTAGGTATAATAATGTTGGATGTACGAGACAGGTATTACCCATGGGTACACGAAACCCATGGGTATGGGGATGGGTTTGCAAAACATTCTCCCCCATGGGTATGAGACCAATATGGATTTCGGTATTTGAAAACATTCTCCCCCATTGATTGCAACCTTGAGAACAATATCGCTTTCAAGCGGTGGTGATTGGTTGAAACACATGGATTTTAGGGTGAGGTGGTTACATAATAGCCGAATCGCATTAGGGGTTTTATTAGGTTTATTTCGAGTTTATGTGCTATATACATACTAGTCACAGGCCCGGCCGGTTGGCCGGTTTCATTTCTGAATCACGTAAATACTAAATAGGTAGCAATGTCGGTTTCATTTGCGAACATCATAGTATTCCGGGATATCGTATCCAACTCATCCAATATAATTAATTATGAAAAACAATGACTGATCCTTTTACCAGATAACTGAATTCTATAATTGTTTTGAATAACACTTATCTTTATACTCATCGTCCATGTCATGTTCATCCTCATTCTTCCTTTGAGGTGCTTACATGCTTTTCATCGGTGGATTTGGTTCATCGTCATTACTGTTATCACCAAAAAGGAATGACAGTTACTCTCCTTTTGGTTTGTTGAACATCAAACTCATAACATGCAGACAAATATGGTAAATAAATGTTGAAGAATTTCACCTTGGTCCAAAATTAATTACTTTTGGAATTCTTGGATTTGCGAGTAGTAAGGTCGATCCAGAAGAGGTGAAATTAATTTTACCTGCAAATTTAGCATTCGTTTGATTAAATGTGGGTTAGTTAGTGTCATTGTTTGATGAATGAAAATAAGTTAATCAAGATGTCACCTTACCGTCACATAGAAGGATGCATAAGGAAGTAATAACCACGATGAGAGGTTGATTGCCCGCATTTTCGAGAATTGAGTTTAGTTGGCTGACTATCCTATCAAAGAGAATGACCTTGACGACCACTCCCCTATATTCAAAATGTATATTTGAATATAGTTAATAAAATTATGATATTTTAAATTAATAATAAAAAGAGTTACATACTTGGAAAGTTTTAGTTGGAGCTTTTGCATGTAACCTTTCTAGTAAGTGTAGTAGATATTAGTAAATCTAAATACCGAATAAGTTGTCTGACGACATCTGTGTAACAAATAACTGACGAATTTAAGTTTTTGGTTGTCCAGACAGCATAATAATTTTTTTATTTCAGAATAGTGCTTAATACCTTAAAAAAATTCCTTTGGTTGGACTTACTCTCGACCTGATCTTCTTCGATGAAGTAAAATTTGTAGTTGGTATCTTTGGAATATCGCCGGATGCTTCGCCCTGGTATTTGATTGAAACTTTATGACCAATTTTTTCGGGATTGGGTTGTATTCTCTCATTGTCATACTGACCTTAAAGTTCTTGATAGTGTAAACTCTTTGATCCTGAAACAGGGGATGGAAGTTAATGATTTGCCCTTTGGGAATTTGCCCCAAAATATCATCGCCATGGGTTAAAAATAGGATATCAATAATTGTCAACGTATTGGATCACAAAGATAATTTTTGTTTTTGATTGTTTACCTTTGAGTCGATGACTATCATATCTAGACGAAGAATAACATTTGTCTTAGGGTTGAGTGACAACCACTTCCTCAAAACACGACATTGAAGAATCCAGTTCCTCTTTTAATTTAAGTTGTGAGATTAAAAATCAGACGAGATTGCATATTGGCTAACCTTCAATAAAAACATCAGTAAACTATTTTTTATTTTTCACAATATATATCAGTCTAACTCACAAAAATGTAACGAGCACAATCTTAATGTAGGGAATGGTTTGTTTAAATAACAAAGATAAGGATATTAGCATACATAACTATGAATATATTCTGATCGTAGTAAACTTGCAAAGTAAATATATGGAATGCTATATTGAATGATTGTCGGGATGAAATACAATTTATTCCTTCCACACCCATAAACATATGTGAATTGGAATATGTAATGTCTACTGCAAATGCATAATAACATGTTTGTATTGAGGTAATTAATGTCGGGTAGCGGGTAGGGAAAAGAAAAAGTTCTGTAAAGTATGACTAAGAACCTGGGGTGAAAGTGAAATTGGTGCGCCAATGCAAGTTGTGTTGGAAGAGAATAAATGCAATAATTTGTAAGGTCATAATTAACGAATATGTGAAATAATTGGGCGGATTGGAGAAAGTAATTACTGATATACTTACAGCTATATATGCTGGTAGCGATGCACAGTAATTGCTTTCAATTGCTTATGTTCCAAAGAATTATTTTTTTTTGTATTCCTATTAAATAAAGTAATTCCACTATTGTCGTGCAGTATACTTCTCGTAATAAACGGATGAATTTCATTTTGTTATTGGCTTACATTAGTCTTCAGATAATTTATATTAATTTATAATTATTTTTAGTCATTTCTTTTTATTTCGAGGGGATTCGGGATAGTTTAAAATATTGTGCTTCAAATAATGTACATAAGAGATGAATTTGGATTATTAATAATGTAAGGGGTGAATTTGGAGGATAGTGGGAGACTTGTTTTTATTTTTGTTTTGTGAAAGTGATGTGACAATATTAGTAGTCTCGGCAATTTATTAACTATTATTGGTGTATGGACATTATATTAGTATTATATGTTATTGTAGTCCGTAAGGTACTAAGGTTTGATAATCTTATAACACATGATATTTTATTTCAAATTAGAATGAATATTTGTATGTAGGGATTCTGAAGGAGAACCTCCTCGTACTAGTTGTTTAGATTAGATGTACTTTGAGTTTACGTTATAATCCATCAAAGAAGTATTCAAAAAAAAAAAAAATCTCAAAATCTTAATTTCATCACCTATCTCTAACAGTCAGACAACCATGCTTCTCCTCGATCCTCAATTTCCTCTTTTAAATCCCTAGTCTCTAATTCTGTTTTCCCCATCCCAATCCTTAATTCTATTCAAAACCCTAAATACCAATAGTTCCTACAGTAGCAACAAATCAACAGCTCCCCCACCTCACCAACGGGAACAACCGGATAGGGGGGAAACAACGTCACCAAGAAAACAAACGCTACATTCTGTATTCCAGCTCACTTGGACCTCATCACACTCACCTAACACAACAGATAAAACACTGCCCCACTACTCTACAAAGAAATCACGCTCAGACCAACGGTTTTTACCCTACAACTTTCGACACCTCAAAACACTGGAGGGCCACCTTTGAACAAGCATGGTAAGTGGATTTGACATGGGTGTCTGAGTTACAAGAACCCGGGAGAAGATAGTGGAACGACCACAAGAAAATAAAAGGACACAATGAATGCCCAATGTCGGGCCAACATCCTGCTGTTGACAGGAAATTAGTTAACTCGCCGCAAATCTCATCATATCATATCATATACTACCGTTTAAGAAGGCTGTACGAGGGTAGTTCTTCAAGCCGTGTTATGTCTTCTGCCAAAAGTTCCCGTTCCAGTTGCCTTCGTGTAGATTTCATAACAGCCTGCAGATAACAAATTTGTCATAATAATTTATTTTCTCTAATGTGAAATGTAACATGCAGTCTATTCTGGACTTCAAAACGCAGAAGCATCCAGTGCTTCAGAAGACAGAAGGAGCATGCAACAAATAACAAGCTTTTACTTCCATGAAGCAAGAGCAAGCATTGATTAATGGGCATATCCATATCTAAACAAGAAGGCGAGTTTCAGCTACAGCTTACATTGAAGTCCATGTATGATGCATGCATGGTAAGCCATTGCTGATCCATTAGCTTGAATGTGATGCAGTATAGGAGATCAAACGCTGATTCATTCTCTGCAGCAATCAAGCGTTATATAGGCCTTAGACAGTACATAGAAGGTGTTTGCAAAATATTAAATAGAATTGAAGATATCAAGATTTACCAGTGAGGAACTTCAAGAAAGTTGCTCCTACCAAACTCCGGGGCTTGACTGTGGAAGTGAAGTTCAAACTTAGATACTTACTCTATATTATTGAGTTGTACAAAGAATGAGCTAAGTTAAACAATGAAAGTATATCCCATTTGATAATTTTAGAAGAGAGTATCTGGATGGACCTGCTTCCAGATCAAGCATCTGAATTAGCATGAATGTGATATTCACACCAGCTACAGCAAATGGGTATTCCCAAACCGAACGGTCTCCTTCTCGCTTTTGAAGAAGATCCTGGAATGATTGCTGCATTGGGATGTTAAGTGAACCTGAGCATTAGAAAGAGGACGTCGATTGCTGACATGTGCACTTATACATGGAGTTAAACTGTTATCAGGCTATTGTCAAAGCAAAATCACCCACATCAAGGGCCATACGCCATGGCATAAAGGCAAAATTGACACTCCAATGAAATGGAAAAGGGAAGTCCAGACATTAAGGTAATAACACAAAAATATCCAACATACCGGGAAATTCCTAGCAAAGTATAACAAGTTCTCCAATGATATGAACCCACCGCCCCTGAAGGATTAATTACACAACATTGCAAATTACTGGGAAGACATACTAGAAAATGAACTATTAAGGCATTGACAAATAACCATGTCGCCTACCTGAAATCTGTGGACGGATCCTTCCCTTGCCAACCCATCTCCTTCCATTGCTCAGAAATCAAACCACATAGCTCCTCTTCAGGGAAAGCAGCATTCCATAATGCCCTCAGAGCTTCCTACAAGAAAACAGCAATTTGCATCTGTACTGAACACAGAGCTTCCATTGGAATTTCATGGGCAGCCAAGTATCTCCGTTTGACATTTTAGCAAAGAAGCATTGTTCTCGTGACTAAGTTGCAAGAGAACAACACAAGAACTGATAAAAAAATTTAATAGAAGCTGCACCTGATGCTCATGAACTGAACTATCATATGGTATATCTATACGACTCTGCAACTGCTGCAAGCATTCTTCCTGTTAAAACCACAATGGAGATAAATGGCCGTTCAATAACCGGATCGGAAGACAAAGATGGAAGGAAAAATGAAAACCAGCTGTCAGGTTATTAGGGAATTCAGGATTAACACTAGGACACAATATCAGCAATGCTGAAGCTATTAGGGAATCAGAGTGATATGTAATCCTGAAAAGCTGCCGCTGCATCTCATCATGCAATAAATGCATCCATAACCAACAAAAATTTGGAGTAGCCTAAGTACAGGTATGAAGGAAAGAAGAAATCTACCAGTGAATGTTTGTTACGAGGCAGGGAAATGGGAGATAGTTCATCAAATCATAATACCTGAGCAGGGGTTAAATCAAATGAGGGACGGGAATCACTCTCTCTTCTCTGAGCACAAACGCAAGAAAGGCCACGACCAAGCCATGCAGCAGACCCTGCTACAACCTCGGCTGCAATTAAATAAACATTTCAAACAAATGAAATCAAATTTCAAATCAGAATCAGAAGCTCACATGTCAGGCACATATAGACTTGGAAAACTGGAAAAGCAAGAGAGTAAAACAAACAACATCTCGGCCTAGTGTTTACCAATTGGCTAACAACCATTATCCATCTCACTGCAAAAATCAATCTCACAGGAACTGGCTTGCATTGAAGTGCATAAACGCATTTGACTCCTTGAGTCATGAATGATTAGCAAGGTATCTATTCTGTCTACTCAAGAAATAAGAAGCAACATCCTACAGAACAAAAAAACCGACTGCCATTCTCCAAGAGCTAAGAAATTTGACAACCCAAGTCATTGGAACAGCATGGAGAAAAGTGGTTCTCTGTCAATACATAATGTTGAGCATCTTTCATTTTCTAAGATGTATATGAATCATTGCTTGAAAAGAAAACGAGTGGGGCTGTTGGAGTCAGCCAGTAAACAAGCAGCCGACAGGGGAGAAGTCGATTTCTCATCAATTTCTTCACTAGTTGATAAAGCTGGCTTTAAGATTCAGAGTTTTGCTTACAAGTTAACTATATTATTTGCAACACCAGCATCACCAATCAAGGAAAACGAAAGATCAGGAACGGATGGGAATCCAAGGAGCTAGACTGAAAGACGAAAATGACCTAACAAAACTGAAAATGGCACCAGAGCGGAAGGGGGGAGAGAGAGAGAAGATGAACAGTGGAAAATCTGCCTACTGAAGCAAAGTTAACGTACCAAAACAATTTTGCATATCAGCACACATGAAGCTAGCAAAGAATTTGTTGTTATCTCAAACCTAATTCACACGCAGCTGCGTCTCCATCCACAGATCCAAAAATGAGAAAAGAGAGATCTGATTGCAGTGAGAAATCGGGAGCGAAGAAAAAGAGCCCTCCACTATAAAAATAAAGCTTCAACAAAGAGAGGGCAATTTAAAAGCGAGGTAGAGGAAGAAACCGTACCAGAACTTGAATGGCAGGCGCTGTTGCCACGCTCCAGACCTTGAGATATCCTTCTGACAGCGACGAACGACCCTCCTCTATCCTCCATTCTCCAGCTCCGAGCTCTGAATCTATCTCTCTTCCTAGCACCGCGGCACCATCCCAATCGACGGGGGACAGCCAAACACCTTATCTGCAATCTGCAACCGAGTGAGCCAACTACTACTACAGAGACAAATCAAGCAGAATCAGAATCAGTGCCGACAGAAATCAACTCAGCCATTGAATCGCACGGGAAACAACAAGCAGTAATCACCTGAAGTAGCGCCGATGAAATCACCACGAAATCTCTTTGTTTCTTCAGCGATCGCGCAGGAGAACTGGCAATGGATCAGAACAGAAGAGGAAACAAGGATAACGAAGTCGACTAGAAAAAGGGAGAAATGGCGGCGAGAGGAGAGCTGCTGCTTGTCAGCTCAAACCTGGAAACTGGAAAGGACTCCTCGATTACTAGGGCGGAAAATTGGAGAATGGCAGCGAAAAAAGGGTGGCGAATCTAGAGAGGAGAAAAATGTGGGAGGATATGAAGGATAGAAATAAGAACCCCTTTGTGGAAGGAAGGGAAAAGTGTGGGAAAAAGCAAAAAGTGGAGGATAGAGATCCAAAACAAGGAAGGGCGGGCGGAATTAGGCAAGAAAAGGAGTGGGTGGTGAATGAGAGTGGTGCGGCTCTCGTTGTGCTCTGGAATTTGGTGAGGCGTTTCTGCCTGACTGCTTCGGCACGGACTCGGAGCGACGCTGCTTTTTGGGTGCGTCCGGTATGCGCCAGCGACTGCGAAAAATTGAATCTGCGATATTTTAGGTTTGCCGAGACAGAGGTCAGAGTCCGAGTCAGACTATTGGAAAGAAAGATCGTTAATTTCGATACTAAATGGCGTTTCAGTAGAATAATAATATATTAGTAACCTTAAAATATGTATTTACTAGTGTAGTAGTGTGCTGTTCGGGTTCCAAAAAATTCGTCAAAATCTCTACACAATTCTGTTCCTTTGAGTGACTTTTACATTTTGTAAAAGTTGGTTTGGTTTAGGCGTAGCCGCCTAGGTGGGTCAATGTGGCTCAATTATTCATTTGATATGATTTAATCAAATTGTTTCTTTTGGGCAGGGCTACTGACTTGTCATGGATTACACCGCGGATTAAAAATTCCGACTAGAGGCCAAGTATAAACTCTAACTGGGTGTATTATAGGGCAAGTATGTTTTAATTTGTCAAATCGGGTCGGTTCATGTACACCTAATTCAATCACTTAAGTTGTAATCTAGCAAACGATTTTGGGTTTTAAAAAATAAGAAAACTACAAAAATAAACAAACAAGTAAAGTAAATCGAGGTTGACACAATAAGAGAAGAATTCACCCGGGTATTGCTACCCCTAGCTATATATCAAGATTAGTCGAATAGAATGCAAATGTGTGGAAAAGTGGCCGTAAACCGTAGGAGAGCGCAACTAGTGAAGAAGCTTCACTCTCCCAATCGATGTGCCAAGGAATGTCAAATGAAGCTAACGAATTAGCTGTCTTGGCCAATCGACTAAGGGTTGCCAATGCTACTCCCTCAGACCTTAATCCGGATGGCAAAACAACAACCAACTCAAAGCGCTAAAATGAAGTTTGAGGTCTGCCCTAATTCGGCCTAAGTAGGTGGCTCAATTGGCCAATGAATTTCAGCTTATACTATCCTCTTATCAAGAAGGGGATTTCCCTCTACCAAGGTCAAATTGGCACAATAGTGAAAAATGGAAAACACACCTCAGTATCTTCATGGTTTTATCAAAGCTTAGGAAATTCGTCATATGGGTGATAGCACTCTCATCATCCCTCCCTTGGAATTGAAGACGCTGGCAAAGTGAGATATCAAACAAGTTCGCGGTCATGCTGGGAGAGTTTGCGGGCGCGATCTACATTGGGGAGGCTGTGATATTCAAGCATTGTCATTTTGTTCGTCATCCAAGGGGGGAGATAGCGGGCCAACTTCACGGTTGCGATCTGTGAGCTGCGACCGTGATCTTTCTCGCGGGCTAGAAAGTCGAGGGTTGCGATTTGACTCGCGAAACTCTCTGCTTCTATCGAGCTGGCTCTTCCTGAAGTTCACAAATGGAGCCTCCAACATCGCGGTCGTGATCTTTGCTCTGCAGGCCACGATCTTCACTTTCACTTCGCGTGCTCCTTTTCCGACCGTGATCTTTCTTGTCCAGATTGGGATCTTCAGCTTTTGCCCCATTCTTGCTATACTTGTGTCCTTTGGTACCTAATTTGCACATATCCTCTAATACACCCTAATATAATGATATATTCTTCGAGGAACAAAATATAGGTGTAGTTGACAATGTATCTTTCAATATGCACATGAAGATGAAATGACTCGAAAAGAACCTAGATATGAGGACTAAATAACACCAATATAGGTCTTATCACCAATCCCTTACACTAAGGCCATCCTACTCGAGCTTTCGGCCCATGTAATAGGAAGATGACTAGCTAATGCGTGCTTTTGCTTCATGCCATCACTTAATCAATGAAGAACAAGGAAGTTAGGATAGCATATTTTTAAGTGCGGGCCTCTTGAGCCATAACACATCGTCTATAGCGTTGTTGATTTATCAATCAGGCATTAATATTAGTCAATGAATGGATGGTTAGTACTTCTTCCATACACGCCTAGCATCAATGGGGCATCACTATAGGGTAAATTTTTAACAACTTAGATGATACTAAGCACAATGCACATAGTAACATATCATAGATTCATACGCATAGATCAAACAAACATCATATGAAATAAATCATCAACGATTATAAACAATAGCTGATTCAAGCATGCTTTCGATAAAACATCTAAAGTAAAAAAAGTCAAAGATCATAGCATAGAACAAAATAGCATCTCATTGATTCATTGAAAGATGCATGAACATCATCGAAATCACATCTATAAACAAATAGAACTATAAAAGCATAGGAGAACAGGAAGACATCACCGAAGATGAAGAACATCAATGATGAGGCATCATAGTCGAGTTCCAACAGGGCTTCACCTCCTCTCTATGAATTTCTAACTCGTGCCCCTAGGGTAGAGTGCTGGTAAAAGGTGTATCTAAAACTCTAGCCTGACCTCCTATTTATACTAGTTACATAAGGGGGGTTTCTAGTCTTTTTCCTCTTAAGGTCATCCAAAACCTTCTTTGTACGATTTGAACTGGGATCATCCGACTTGTATACAAAGTAACTTTGAAAATGAAGATTTTGGAGGCTCGAGCCTGGCGATGGCTGTATGATGGTAGTGCCTGCAGCTAGATTTCTTCTCCAAACCGATCCAATTTTTGTGAGCAACTTTATCTTGGGCTCATTGGGCTTCTCCTAAATTTAAGCTTGTTTGGACTTGGTTTGACCCGTTTGCTCTTCAAAATACTATTTTCTGGTCCTAACTTGAGCTTTTGGTGTTAGAATCCATCTTCATTTGCGCCCACGAGCTTGTAATCTTGTCCTCTTTTAGATCCATTGGGTTCCTTGATGATCCATATTCATTTTGCATGTATTATAACCTTGAAAATCACAAAACAACACCAAAAGGCATAAAAAAAAAGTACAAAACAGACTCAAGGTCTATCATATGCTCATAGATCAAATAGTTACGAATTCTATATGAAATAAAGTAATAAATAAATATGTATTGATAGAAGGGAGAAATGTATCAAATATGTGATTCATAAACACTATAAATTGAGTGTCATAAGATATACCCCACGCTTGAACTTCGTTGGTCCCTAAGCAATCATTGGTCCCTAAGCAAAGACTACTCATAATCATACAACTCAATGAACACTAGGCACCATCACTCAATCTCGATCTTAGGTAGTGGATAGTAAGTGAACTTACAAGGTCAACAATAGCACGAGAGAATCCTAACTACATCAACATATCAACATGCCAGACCACCATGCAATCCAATCCAATCCAAACATAAACATATTTCATGCATTAGAGTCTCAAAACACATAGGGTGAAGCTTTTCATAAACATTTTTCAATCTTTGAATTATTCTACCATCAACTTGACATACCCTTTAAGCACTTTCCTTATTAGAACACATACTCTTACTCTTTTTCTCTTTTTTCGAAATTTTTTTTCCATTGAACATCTCTTTTTATGTTTCTTGTGTAGGGAGCTATCTACTTACTAGAGCATTAGACCCTTATTGATTGAGCAAGAGCTATAAGCTCCTTTACGTCAACTTGTGTGGAGGGTCAATGAAATGAAATGGTGTCGAAAGCTCCATTCATGCCCTTAAGGACACATTCTCAAGTTGGCTATCCATTTAGGGGGAATTTTACTTGTACTAGAGATAAAATACCATCACCTTGTAAGAATTGCCACTAAAACTCAACTAGTATCTCTTCCAAACCTCGATTTTTGTGCAATGAAAAGACGCATCATACATTGGACCCCTCACTTTATTTCTCAACATATAGCATGACAATTCAAATGATACAATCATTTCTTGATATGTAGATTTTTCATTTTATAAAAGATACAGTTCGTCCTTTGAAAAACTTCAAAAAAATGGGAGACTCCTTTACATAGTTAGAAATCTATGAATGAGCTAAACAACATAGCATTCAAACACATCAAATGGTCATTATGTCACACTGACTATCACATACTTCATAGTCACTACACTATCCTCCCTAAGTCAAATGATATTCTCTAGACTCGTTGATTCAAAGTAAGATGAGCAGAGAATATGCTTGTAGGGGATGACTAAAAGTCATTAGATGGAAAACATCCTTAGTAATTTATGAAAAGTTTCACATATATCATAACCACTGGATTTCCAAATTGAATGACTATATATATTTCATGTATCAATCATAATAAAGTAACACGTAATTCAACCCACACTTTAAAATGGGCATTGTCATCAATGGAGTAAAAGATAGTAAGTTATAGAAAATTTTATTATGTGTTACTTCATTTGGCATTCTAATTTTGATATAGGGGCCTAGGCTAATAGCACTCTTCTTATCCTAAATTCTAAATCAAACAAAAGAAACAAAAGAAAAATAAAAGCATATATGGAGAGAGCAAAAGCCTCAACTCCTAAATCCAAGGTAGAAAAACAAAGGGAAAGTGATACTCCCATCATTCTTCAAAGATCATAGTCTCATTGGATGGCCAATCGAGCTCTATCTTCCATTCATCATCCCATCCAGTTGCATTCGTCGTTGTGTGCATCATGGGATTTGTATTGAATCCATTCTATTGATGATGGCAGATAAACCCTTGATATTCCTCCAAGTCTTGATATTACAGCTCCTCAATCTTCTCTAGCACCATTTTGGTCCTTGTACTGGCTGTCTTAAGTGCCATTTGTGTGTGCTTCAATTATGGAGTTGGTGGATCTTCCTTCAACTCGTCTCCCATACTAGTAGATCTTTATCGTAATGATGATAGGTTGTGTTCTAGGAATCCTCATATAGAGATCCCGATCTGATCTTGATCTCTATCTATGGCTCCGTCTCTTCATTCTCCTTGAAATCATCATTATTGGTGGGTTGATTTGAATTCTCATATTCAAAAGACATCACTAATCTATGCATAATATTTTCTACTTGTAGTTTGATTACTCATTTCGATGCATTTATCATGGAACCTACAGTGGCCAAAAATAGTATACCAAAGATTAAGTAGCAAGAGGTCTCTATCTCCATCTTGATCACCACATAGTCTAGAAAAAAGATGAATGGCCCAATTAGGATGGTCAATTCTCAAATTACTCCAAGAGGTTGACACGGAGTGTTGTCTACCAACATGATGTCCATTTGAATGT